CCAAAGGAGAGTCACCGGCCTGTCCTGGGGGAGAGCTTGGCCTGCTTGGCCAGCCTGGGATTTGAACAGTGGAAGGGGGAGGGAGTGCAGGAATCAGGTCCTGGAACGTAATGCTGACTTGTGTGTTTTGTTTAGATCCCGCCACAGCAGGGACTGGCTTCCTCGTCCCCAAGCAAACATGCAGCTTCTCCATCCAGGGAGCCTTGCCCAGCCTCACCTGCTCCTCCAGCCCAGCACCTCTCCATCCGCCACACTGAGCATCAGCCAGCTGAGCTCCATCTCCTTCCCCAGCTCCTTGGGGACTGGAGATGCAGCAGGCCCTGCCTTTAGGAGAACGGCACTGGGAGGAAGGCCACGGGGACCAAGATGGACAATCATGGGGAGCGGGAGGGAATTTCACCCTATCTCCCCGCTGGTGTTTGTTTTTAAGAGGTTTGGGGGAAGGGCCACTTGTTGGTTTTTAAACTGCCTGTCCTGCTTTCCTTGTAGAAATGTAAAAAGCCAGGCCAGCACCATGCTGGAACATACGGACTACAGTGTGGGGTGTGCGGGGACCCTCCATGTGCATCTTCACTGGGAAGAGAGGTGTGCCCTTAACTCAAGGTAGCTAGCGCACGGTAAAATCCCACTGAAGACAAGGCACTGCAGCTTGGAGTTTTCCCACTCCCACTGAGGTACGAAGATAGGGGAGCCGAGGGTCTGTCTTGTCTTGCCTAGGATTTCACCATTCATTACCATGTGCTAGCTAACGTGAGTCAAGAACAAACCTTGGCCCTAGTGAAGACACGGCACACAGCTGTGTTTGTCACGGGAATGTTCAAGCAGTGTGTTTTTAATGTCGTTAGGGGCATGGGTTTTTAACAATATTGTATTGAGTAGTTTGAGTTCCTCCTGAAATTAACAGGGATTGAAATGTATGGTTTTAAAGACTGGCTGTTTATTTAAAAGCCGCTTTCGAGCTGCACTGAAGGATTTATCCCCCTTCTGGCATGTCCAAGTTGCCAGGGAATTTGTGGGGTTTATTCTTTTGGGAATGAGTGGATGTGAAATTCACACCATGAGTGGGTCCCGCTGTTTGTTGCCAATAAAACATTGTGAAACAGTTTGAAACATCACTAATCATGAGCGTTATTGTCCATGGATGGAGGGATTAGGCCAGATTTTTAAACACATATGGCGCTTTTGAAAATCGCATTAGGCTCCTATCTGGATCAGGATAGGGCAGGGTTGGATATTTCGACGTCACTGGGGCGGGTGCAGGGTTTGGGTTCCTCTCTGGGGGTTGTCTGACCGAAGCCCAGCCACAGCTGCCTGGCCGTGACGTCAGCAGCTAAGCTGGATTTGATCGCTAACTGCCAAGGGACAGCTGGGCAGTGGGAGGTGCACCCCGTCACCGACCCCGCTGCCCCAGCGTGGCGATGGGAGGCGTCATGCTGCCGGGAGTGGGGGATACTGGGCGCCAGCCTTAATCCCACGTGCTTCCTTTCAGAGGGCTCCTGTACCTATTAACGGTCATTTACGCTTAGGAAGCAAGGAGTGCTGCCCGCCCGTGGGGTGACTTGGCCTCTCCATGCCCCACGGTGATTTGGGGGGCAGTGGGAGGCATTGTGACTGCAGACGGGCATTTGCAGCCTGCTTTATATGAAGAGGGAACAGCCCAGGGGGACGTTAGGCATGGGGGGCAGTGATGGTTGTGAGGGGAGATGTCTGTGTGCAAGGGGAGTGGGGTACATGGGGGGCGGTTACACTGTGGGGCAGTCAGGGGAAATGTCTCTGTGCTGCGAGGAGCAGGGTACGTGGAGGGTTACACTGGGGGGCAGTCAGGGGTGGTTGGGGGGTGCAAGGGGGGAGCAGGATATGTGCTAGGGTTACACTGGGGGGCACGTCTCCATGCTGGGGGGTTACACTGGGGGGTAGTCAGAGGTGAGTGAGCAGGGGCCGTCTCTGCTGGGGGGCTGGGATATGCGGGCGGGGGTTACGCTGGGAGGCAATCAGGGGGGTCGTCTCTGTGCAAGGGGGAGCAGGAGACGTGCAGGAGGGTTACACTGGGGGGCAGGTCTCTGTGCCGGGGGGGGGTTACACTGGGGAGTCTCTGTGCCACGTGACCTGGGGGGGCGGCAGTGGTGGGGGGGGCATTGACGTTGGAAGATTCTAGAAGCGGCCAGCCCCTACATGCGCTCCGGGGGCGGGGCCATGTGCGGAGGCGGCTGCCACGTGCAGTGTAACAACCGCCAACGGTGCCTCGCGCTGCTCCCTCCCCCTCCCCACCTGAAGGGGAAACGGCCGCTCCAGGCTCGCTGTCCCCGCCCCCCTGCTGCGCGGTGATTGGTCACGTGGCTCTGGCAGCCACACCCTGATTGGCTGGCCAGTTGCTGGGGCGAGCCTTTAGGGAAGGGCGTGGGCTGGACAGGTTGGATCCAGATTAGGCTGGCCTGGCCTGGGCAGAGTGTGACCCCCAGGCATGCCCCACCCACCCCACAGGGCACTGTGACCCCCCTGAGCAACCCCCACCCACCTCATGGGAAAGCGTGACTCTGGGCATGCTCAACCCACCCCATGGTGCAGCATGACCCCCAAGCACAACTGACCCACCCCGGGGGCACTGTGTCCCCCCCAGCAAGCCCCACACACCCCATGGTGCAGCATGACCCCCAAGCACAACTGACCCACACTGGGGGCACTGTGGCCCCCCCAAGAAAGCCCCACCCACCCCATGGGGCAGTATGACCCCCAAATATGACAACCCACCTTGGGGGCACTGTGACCCCCCTGCGCAGGGCTGACCCGCATGGGGAGAACATGACAGACCCACAGACAGGAGCGTGACCCCTCCTACGCAGGGCTGACCCTTGGGGGGAGCCTGACCCCTGAGCGGGGCCAACCCTGCAGCGTGAGCATCCCAAGCAAGAACCCTATGCCAGGCTGACCCCCAGGGCAGAGGGTGTGCAGCCACTCAAGCCAGCCTGCTGCCACGAGGGGCAGGAGTGAGCTCCAGCCCCATGGACAGGGAGCTAGGGCAAGACCTCCCTGCCATGCCAAGCTGGACCTAGGGTCCAGTGGGGCAGGGCAGGGCTCGGGGACCACAAGCGGCAGGGCCAGGGGAGCTGGCTCCTCGGGGGGCAGAATGGAGACAACAGAGCGATTTTACTCTTTGCATGGATGTTTTTGACAGGCCCGGCTCTAGCTCCAACAGGGATCCATGGAGGGCACTCTGGCCTATGTGACGTAGGAGGGCGGGCGAGACGCTCAGCGGTCTCCACCTGGCTGGCAGGGCGGCGCGTGCTGGCCAAAGCGAGATCTCCGCAGGTTGAGACTCATCGCCAGCACCCGCTGCTGGGGTTTGGAGGTTTCCTTGGTGCAGCAGGGATCGGGGAGACCCAGGTTTTGCATTGCTGCCTGCTGCCCTGTGAGCTTACAACAGTAACATCAGCTGGGCAAGCTTAAAATAAACGAGGCGTCTTTAACCTGGCCTGCCCTCTGCAAGGCAAGAGGCAGGACGCACCCTCAGTTTTACAGCCACTGCGAAAGTGAGAGAGGTTTGCAGCCCTTGGGACGCAGGGACACCAGGGGCCTGGGGCTGCTCACCTCCAGGGACCAGCTTGCGATGAGGACCTGAGGTGAAGGGTTTCAAAAGAGGCCCAGGAAGTTGAGAGACCCTCTTCTCTCCCACCCCAGTATTTCCTGTCTTGGCCTGGTGCTTGACTCAATATGATCTGGGAGCCTGTAAATGCCTCTGCCCTAAGCCCCTTGAGCTCGCCTGGCCGTCTGGTCCTCGCGCTACTAGTTTCCCTGAGTTGCAGCCCCGGCTCTAAAAAGTGCTTTGAATTTCAACAGGCTCAAGTGACAACGTTTTGTTGCAGTCGACACAGCAGTCCGGGGAGGTCCATGATTTCCGCGGCAGACAGGGAGCAGTGCCCGCTGTGCCATTGGACTGCATTGGCATCACCAAACATGAGAAACTGGAGAGGAGGGTAGGTCCATCCCTGCTGCTGCTCCTCTCCCAGAGACTCCTGTGTGTCTGCAGCGCTTTCCAGCTAGTGAGGGCCCAGGCCCAGCGTCCCTTCCTCTGGGGTTCCTATGTGTATGATGCTTAGGGGGGAAGCTGTTTATACAGGATCCTTAGCCCCGCACTGAGATGCAGCCACGTCTGGGGCAGGCAGGGCCACTGGTTAATGGCGACACCTCACAGCACTTTGGGACAGGGAGCCAAAGGCGATCTCCTCTCCTGCCCAGACCACAGGTGGGGGAGATTTGGGGGGGGTTGAGCTGGGCCTCTGATCCCTCTCCCCCTGAGAAATTGACCAGCCTCTCCCTCGCGCTGCGCTGGGCCTAGATCTCCCACGCAGAGAGAGAGCAGGCCAGACCCTGCGCAGTGTGGGGCAGGGGTGGGGGTCACTGCAGAAACTGGCTGGGGAGCCGTGCGGGGGGCGAGGCGGCATCGTGCCATGGGGGCGCAGCAGCACTGACGGGACGAGGCACCTCTGGGCCAGGAGGCAGCTGTGTGTGTGTGGGGGGGGATGGCACAGCAAGAGCCAGCTGATGGGGGGGGAAGTGAACAGAACACCTGGATTTAGGGGGAGGGGGTAAAAGGAACAGCCAGACTTAGGGGGAGAATGACTTAAAAGCCGAAGTCCAGAGGGGGGCAGTTAATGCAGCTGGATGGGGGGGGTGATGAGAACAGCCACAGTCACACAGAGGCTGCAATCAGGGGAGGGGGGCTCTGGGAACAGCCGGGCTCTGGTGGGGAGGGTAAAGGGAAGAGCCGGACCCCGGGAAGGGGGGCGCTGGGAACAGCCGGGCTCTGGTGGGGAGGGTAAAGGGAAGAGCCGGACCCCGGGAAGGGGGGCGCTGGGAACAGCCGGGCTCTGGTGGGGAGGGTAAAGGGAAGAGCCGGACCCCGGGAAGGGGGGCGCTGGGAACAGCCGGGCTCTGGTGGGGAGGAGCCGGACTAGCTCATACCATCTCCGCGCGGCGGTGGGAGCGTCTGCACTTCTTCCCAGCCCTCCCCTGTCACATGGTTCCGCCCAGGCCGCCCGCTGCTCCCCAACGCAGAGCGAACGTGCGGGCGGCGGCGGCGGCTCCGGAACCATTCGCTCCCCTCCCCCGCCAGCCTCTTAGGTGAGCCTCCCCCCGGCCCAGGGGAATGGTACCACCCGCATGCATCGGGGGGGCTCAGTGTGGATCTAACCATTATACCCACGGGAGGGTAGGGGAACCAGCCCCTTTTCTCCTCCCTCCCCCTCCACGAATGGTCCTATCCATTCTACATGGGGGCTCGAGGGGCCGACCAAGCCATTGCCCCCATGGGGGAATGGATAAACCCCCTTCCTGGGGAAATGGACCCGCTCAATCTCTATGCCCCCCGCCTCAAGGGGCGGACCAAACCATTAGTCTTCATGGGGGGTGTTACGAAGGACTCAGCCATCTTCCCCATACTTGAGCCTGGAAACTGAGTTTGACCCCGCCCTGCATGGACCTGAGGAGTACGGATCAGTCAATATACACCGGGGGGGGGAGAGAGAAGGGAGGTTAATAGGATCAGTCCCCCTCACAAAGGAATGGTATCTCCCACTATGCATGGAAGCCTGGGGGGTGGACCCAACCATTATACCACGTAAGGGGGAATGATGTAGCTGAGAAACGTACCTGTCACCCCACCTTCACAATGGTACAGTCCGAGAGTGGGCTGAGAGGATTCAACCATTATCCACGGGCATGGGTAGAATGGAGAAGGGCCAAAAACTCCTGTCCCCCATCCCAGGGAATGGTATTATCCACCGTGCATGGGACTTGAGGGTGCAGACCCAACCATTATCCCACATGGGGAGAGGTTGGGTCTGGACAGAACCATTATCAAAGCAGGGTGGGGAGTGCTGCTGTTTCTGACCTGCTGGCTTTGCCTCCTAGGAGCTTCCAGGACCATGAGTGACGGGGACAAGAACCCGGCCAGCACCCCGACGCCGCTGGCCGACGTGCAGGGGGACGGGCGCTGGCTGGCGCTGGTGAGGGATGGCACTGCACAGACAGCCCCGCCCCTCCCATGGGGGGGTGCTGCACGGACACCCCCATCCTGCCCCATGGGGACACTGCATAGACACCTCTGCCCCACCCTATGGGGACCCTGCACAACACCCCCACCTGCCCCATAAGAGGCACTGCATGGCCCTGCCTCACCCCACAGGGGCTGCAATGGTAGCGGATGAGGGGTCCCCATGCAGCTGACCCCCTGCACCCCACCCCAGAGGGGTCACGTCCCAGCACTGGGCCCGTCAGCCTGTAAGGGAGAGTCTCTGCCTGACATAGGCTCTGGGGCCCTGCTGCTCCCCAGCCCTGCCTGACCCTGTCTCCCCCCCAGCACCATCGCTTCATCGCAGACAGCAAGGACAAGGAGCCCGAGGTCGTGTTCATCGGGGACGCCCTGGTGCAGCTGCTCCAGCAGTTTGAGGTGAGCCCCACACTCATCCTGGCCCTGCCCCGGCAGGCTGGGGGGGCCATACGGGGACCACGGCCCACCCTGAGGGCCCCAGCTCTGACTCTCTGTCCCCCTAGATCTGGCGTGAGCTCTTCTCCCCGCTGCACGCGCTCAACTTCGGCATTGGGGGCGACGGGACGCAGCACGTGCTGTGGCGGCTGCAGGAGGGCGAGCTGCAGCACATCCGGCCCAAGGTGCGGGGGATCAGGGTGCCGGGGGGGCACCGACGAGGTGTGAGGGGAATAGGGCGCTGATAGGAGGCAGGTGAAAGGGGTGCGGGAGGCAGTGGGGGCTAATAGAAGGCAGGTGAATGGGATGTGAGGGGCAGGGGGGATGACAGAGGGCAGGTGAATGGGATGTGGGGGGCGGGGGGGGCTGAGGCCTGGGGAATAGGAGGCTGGTCACTCCCTAGGGGGCAGCTGCCAGCCCCCCTCACTCCTGGCCTCCCTGCAGATCGTGGTCGTCTGGGTGGGCACCAATAACCACGGGCACACGGCCGAGCAGGTGGTGGGCGGCATTGAGGCCATTGTCCGCCTCCTGCAGCAGCAGCAGCCCCAGGCGCGCGTGGTGGTGCTGGTGAGTAGGGGGCACAGCGGGGGGGTGTGGGGAGGGGGACCCTCCCCCAGGCCTGACAGTGCCACGTCTGCCCCCAGGGCCTGCTGCCCCGGGGCCAGGGCCCCAACCCGCTGCGGGAGAGGAACCGGCGGGTGAACGAGCTGCTGGAGGCCCGGCTGCCGCGGCTGCCCAACACCTGCTTCCTGGATGCCGACCCCGGCTTCGTGCACTCGGACGGCGCCATCAGCCACCACGACATGTACGATTACCTGCACCTGAGCCGGCACGGCTACGCCCGCCTGTGCCCGCGGCTGCACGCGCTGCTGCTGCGCCTGCTGGGAGAGTGCCACCGGGCCGGGCCCTGAGCCGCCGCCGCCACGGGGGGGGCCAGCGGGCCGGGCCCTGAGCCGCCGCCACCACGGCAGGGGCCAGCGGGCCGGGCCCTGAGCCGCCGCCGCCACGGGGGCGTAACTGGGCCAAGCCCTGAGCCACCACCACGCCAGGCCCTGAGTTGTTGCTGCCACTGGGGGGGGGTGGCACTGCATCACCGTGCAGGGCCGTGAGCCACCACTGTCCCTCCCCCCACAGCCCACCGCGCTCAGCCATGGCCCCCCCATCACTGCACCACCACAACCATCCCACTCGGGCACGCGACTGCCCAGGAACCCTTGCACCGCACGGGCATTAAACGCAGATTTGCTGTCTGCCGGCTGGAGCCGATTATCTGCCTGGCCCCCGGGTCTGGGGGAGGTTTGCGCCCCATGGGCGGGGGGACAGAGGCAGGAGAGAGGAGGGGCGCTGGGGGGTAAGTGACATCGACCTGAGACATGGGGTCAGGAGAGCCCACAAGCAGGACTGGGGGAGCAGCCTAGGGGGTGCGGGTTGCCATCACCAGAGCAGATTGATGGGGAGCAGGCCCAAAATGTGGGATGGGGGAATGCGGAGACCAGGCCCTGGGAAGGTGACACACGGAGCAGAATGGGGGAGGGGGGCACCTGGGGAGCAGGGGATGGGGGGTGACTCAGGGAGCTGGTGCTGGGGAGAGGGAGGTGGGGGACCGATACAGGGAGCAGGCCGCAGGGTGAGGAAGATGGAGAGGGCACTGGGGGGAGCAGGTGCCGGGTGGGGAGGTGAATATGCTGGGGGACGACGCAGGGAGCAGGCCCCAGGGAGGGGGTGACAGACACAGCGTTGCCAGCGCCGGGGGGCAGGGACCCCAGATGAGCCACGTGTGGCTGCCGGGGCCAGGTGCTCGTGGTGCATCCAGCAGCGGGTGCGTGGGCCTGAGCCCTGCAATGCCCCGGCTGGGCCAAGCCAGAGCCCCTGATGGGGCCTGGATTTAGCCCTGGGCCCCCAGGCAGCTGAGGGGGTGTTGGGAGCAGAGTAGTTGGGGGTGGAGCCCGGCACGGCTGGGGCAGGTCAGGAGGCGGAGCCTGGCAGTCCCCACCCCCAGCACAGCAGGGGCGGAGCATGTGAGGGTGGGGGAGGGGCTGACACAAGCCACAAGCATCAGGTCTCAAAATATTTAACATTATTAAAAGTCGTCACTTTCCAGGTGTCCATGTCCCCCCCGCAGTCGCCACGGCAACGGGGCGGGGCCGGGAGCCTGCAATGGGCCGGTCTGGGTGCCACAGTGGGGATGGGGTAGCCACTGGCATCATGGTGGAGCAGACCATCCCAGCAGGGGGGTAGGGCACACCCTGGTGCCCATGGGGGAGCAGACCATCCTTGTGGAGCGTGGGGGGGAGGCGCTGGCATCTGTGGCGGAGCAGACCATCCCGGCTGGGGGGGGGCAGGCGCTGGTGCCCATGGCAGAACAGACCATCCTGGCTGGGGGGGGAGGAGGCGCTGGCATCTGTGGTGGAGCAGACCATCCCAGTGAGGGGGGGGAGCAGGCAGGCGCTGGTACCGATACCCATGGCAGAGCAGACCATCCTGGCTGGGGGGAGGCAGGCGCTGGTGCCCATGGCGGAGCAGACCATCCTTGCGGGGGGGCGCTGCAGTCCATGGTGGAACAGACCATCCCAGCTGGGGAGGGGGCAGGCGCCCATGGCAGAGCAGACCATCCTTGCAGGGGGTGTTGCAGTCCATGGCGGAGCAGACCATCCTTGCGGGGGGGCGCTGCAGTCCATGGTGGAGCAGACCATCCCAGCTGGGGAAGGGGCAGGCGCCCATGGCGGAGCAGACCATCCTTGTGGGGGGGCGCTGCAGTCCATGGTGGAGCGGACCATCCCAGGGGAGCAAGGAAACATCTTTGCCGGGGCCCCCGTCAGGCCGGGGCGTAGCAGGAAGGTGGGCGAAGCTCCCAGAATGCTTTGCTTCCAGCCGTGCCACTCAAGGCCCTTCATCTGCCACTGCCTGCGGCGCCCCCCGGGGGAGATGTCTGGCTATTGTCCCAGCTGGTGCTGCCCCCTGCCTCTGCCCCCGGGTCCGAGTCCTGGGGGGGCGCGGGCTCCGGGGGCTGCCCCTCAGCGGCTCCGCCACCGCCTGGGCCCCCCGGCTCGGGGGTGCTGGGCGCCTGCTCGGTGGGGGTGGCCGCCTGCATGATCTTCTGCCGCACCTCGCGGATCTTCAGCTGCAGGCAGACCTTGGTGGGGAAGATGTCGGAGTAGCGGGCCTGGAACGCGGCCGTGGCCTGGGCTGCGGGAGACAAGACACCGTGTCAGCGACACAGGGCTGGTTCCACGGGGGCCCCTCGCCCGGCGCCGGGGCGCGGCCCCTCTGGGCGGGGGCTGGTTCCACGGGGGCCCCTCGCCCGGCGCCGGGGGGCGGCCCCTCTGGGCGGGGGCTGGTTCCACGGGGGCCCCTCGCCCGGCGCCGGGGCGCGGCCCCTCTGGGCGGGGGCTGGTTCCACGGGGGCCCCTCGCCCGGCGCCGGGGCGCGGCCCCTCTGGGCGGGGGCTGGTTCCACGGGGGCCCCTCGCTGGGGGGTGGGCAGGGTGGGGCTGCACATCAGTTTGGCAGAGGACACGATGGAGACGCCTGCATCCCCCTGACGCTGACCCATAGAATGGCCGGGGTCCTGCCCCACTCCTGGAGTCAACACACCGGGGAGCCCACAACGATGCCTACATTACACATGGAGAGTCCTCCTACCCCATGGAGCTCCCCGCCCCACAGTGCCCCCTAATGACTCCCTCCCCCCGTTCCCTGCCCCATGGCACCCCCTAGGGAACCCCTAGCGCCGCGCTGGCTGCGGCCCCGGCAGCACCGACCTGAGGGGAAGAAGCCGTGGTCCTGGAAGAGCTGCATGACCAGCGCCCGCCTCTGGTCCAGGGTCCGGCGCAGCGACGAATACGGGACCTTCTCGTACTCCAGCTCCCCCAGCACGTCCTCCGCCTCCGCGCCTGGGGGGAGGGGCTGTGAGACTGCGCCCCGCCCCTTCCCGCAGGCCCCGCCCCAGGGGGAGCCCCGCCCCTTCCCGCAGGCCCCGCCCCAGGGGGAGCCCCGCCCCTTCCCGCAGGCCCCGCCCCGTCCCCGTCCCATCATGCCACCCTGCCCCCTCGCCGGCCCCGCCCCCAGCCCTCACCCGTCTTGTCGAAGGTGAAGATGTCGCCCTCGCACTTGGCGCTCTTGGGCGTGTTGGGCTCCGAGCTGCAGCTCGAGCGGCGCCGCATCTTCCGCTTGGGTGAGATGGGGTCCTCGGTGGAGGAGTCCAGGTCTGGGGAGGCCGAAGGGCTAATGAGCCCCCATCCCCTCCTGCACGGGACGCCGGTGCCCCTCGCTCCCGCCCCGCAGCCCCGCCCCTCAGCTCCACCGGAGCCCCTCGCTCCCGCCCCGCAGCCCCGCCCCCGTGCCCCTCGCTCCCGCTCCGCAGCCCCCCGGTGCCCCTCGCTCCCATCCCGCAGGTCCCCCCGCGCCCCGCCCCTCAGCTCCACCGGAGCCCCTCGCTCCCGCCCCGCAGCCCCGCGCCCCTTGCTCCCGCCCCGCAGCCCCCCCCGGTGCCCCTCACTCCCGCCCCGCAGCCCCGCCCCTCAGCTCCACCGGAGCCCCTCGCTCCCGCCCCGCAGCCCCCCCCCGGTGCCCCTCGCTCCCGCCCCGCAGCCCCGCCCCTCAGCTCCACCGGATCCCCTCGCTCCCGCCCCGCAGCCCCCCGGTGCCCCTCGCTCCCGCCCCTCAGCTCCACCGGAGCCCCTCGATCCCACCCCGCAGCCCCCCGGTGCCCCTCGCTCCCGCCCCGCAGCCCCGCCCCTCAGCTCCACCGGATCCCCTCACTCCCGCCCCGCAGCCCCCCCGTGCCCCTCGCTCCCGCCCCGCAGCCCCCCCGCTCACCGGTGGAGTTTTTGCGCTTCTTGCGGTAGCTGCCCAGGATGGCGCGGGGCGACGTGGCCAGGGACTGCAGCGTGGGCGAGGGCAGAACCTCCTCGGGCTTGAACTCGGGCAGCTCAGCGAAGCGCTCCTCGAAATCCACCTCCGACAGAACCCTGCTGGGGGAGGGGCAGGGGCGCGTCATGCACCGGCTCTCCCGGACACCCCGGCCCCCTCCTCTCCCCCCAGCCTGAGCCCAGGAGTGGGGGTCCCCTGAGATGGGGGCGCCGGGTGTCTGCCCCAGGCCAAGCTCCTAACGAGCCATGTGATCCCTGACCCTGAGTGACTCCTGACCCCTCAAGGGCCTGTGACCCCTGGCCCCAGGTGACCCCGAACCCTAATGACCACTGACCCCCCCGTCACTCACTTGTCCACCGAGTCAAAGGTTTTCTTCAGCGGGGGAGGCCGAACCTTCACCTTCTTGCCGCCCCCCCCCTCCTTGCGCTCTGGGCCCTCGGGTGCACCGGGGATTGGACCTGCCCCCCGGGGCCCCTCCCCAGAGCCAGCAGGGGCGGGGCTGAGCGCAGAGGAGGACGAGGAGCCAGCAGGGGCCGCTGGGACCTCCGGGCGGCTCTCAGGGCCCGGGACCCTCCAGTCGGGGGAGACAGGCGCCCGGGGGGGTCTGCGGGGAAGAGAAGCGTCAGCATCGGGGGCAGGAAAGGCCCCTGAGGTTGGGGGGGTTCGGGGCAGAGGGGAGGTAGGGGAGTGATGGGGGACAGGAGGTGGGTTATTAACCCTAATCCCGTCCCAGCACTCGTAACCCCAGGCGCAACCTCAGGGGAGGTGGTGGGTGGGGTACGATGGGGTGGGGCTGGGGGCTCCCTCACCATCTCGGTGTTCTTGCCCCCCTGGGAGCAGTGGGGTGGGGGTGGGGGTAGGATGATGGGGGGGATCACTCACCATTTCGGGGTCCTCGCCCCCCGGGAGCAGTGGGTGGGGTGGGGGTGTGGGTAGGGTGGCGGGCGGGGATGATGAAGGGGGGCCACTCACCATCTCGCACCCCTTGCCCCCTGGGAGCAGTGGGTGGGGCAGGGGTAGGGTGGTGGACAGGGGGATGATGGGGGGGGCAGGTTACTCACCGTCTCCGGCCCCTTGCCCCCCGGGGCAGCTCCGGGGGCGCTCGCCTGCTCTCGGGGTGTTCGTTCCTCACTAGCCCCTGGCGCAGCCTCCCGCTGGCTCCAGCCCTCACCGCTCTCAGCCTCAGGCACTGGGTGCTGGGGGGGCGCGGGCGAGGGGGGGCGCCCATCCCAGCTGTCTGGCTCCGGAGCTGGGCCGGGTCTGGGGGGCTGGGGCGGAGGGGAGGGGGCAGGCAGCTCCGGAGGCTCCCTTGGGCTCTCCAGCTCCCGGGAGACGCGGGGGGGCCCCCCCAGGCTCCGTCTGCTGCCCCCCTGGAGGCCGGGCAGGGCCGGGTGACGGGGCCGACTCATAGGAGCCCACGGGGATGCTGGCGATGGCGGCCTTCACCTTCTGGGGGGGCTTCGGCGGAGGGCGCGGGGGCCGGGCAGGCGCCGGGGGGAAGGCGAGGGGGCCTGTGGGGGGAGAGAGATAGTCATAGGGGGCTGGGTGAGCCACAGGGACCCCCCCACTTACACCCCCCAGCCCCGTCCCCACCCCAAAGCTCTGCCCCCAGTTCTATACCCGTGAGGGCGGAGCCTAGCCCGCTCCCACCCCATAATTCTGCCCCCACCCCATACCCGTAAGAATCTGGCCCAGCTCAGCCCCACCCTCTGTTCCGTAGCCATGTGTTGGGGACCTGCCCAGCCCCATCCCCCCCGTTCCATAACCCCACCCCCATTCTGTAGCCAGGTTGGTGGGAGTGGGGCTCTGCCCAGCCCCACCCCATTCATACCCATAGGTCCAGGCCCCAGTGTGCCCTGGCTGCCGGCACTGCTCCCCTTGGGCAGGATGGGTGCAGGGGCGGGGCTGGCCACGCTGTAGACGAGACCGTGGGCGGGTGACGGGGTGGGGCCGGCGGTTGGGGGGCCGGGGTAGATGGCCGTAATCACCGGGCCGCTGCAGGAGGGGGGCAGCTGGGGGCTGGGCAGCGGGGAAACCCCCATCTGCCCCGGGGCCAGCAGGGGGCTCTGCCCTGGGGAGAGAAACACCAAGGGTGAGACGGACAGATGGATCCACTCCCCTGCCCCCGTCCCTCACCAGCCCCCCACACTCCCATGACCCCTGCCTGGTGACCCCTACCCCTCCCCACCCCAATCCAGCACCAGCCACCCCCGCCCCCATCTGGCAACAGCCCCACCCCTGACACAGCCCCCTGCCCCCGTCTATTGGGACTGCCAATTTTCTACTCGCACAAAACTAAACACCCTTGCCCCACCCTTGCCCGCCCCTTCTGCGAGGCTCCGCTCCCGCTCACTCCATCCCCCTCCCTCTGTCACTCGCTCAGGGGGTTGGGGTGTGTGGGGGGGTGAGGGCTCCAGCTGGGGGTGCGGGCTCTGGGGTGGGGCTGGGGGATGAGGGGTTTGGAGTGAGCTGGGGGGGCTCCAGGCTGGGACCGAGGGGTTCGGAGGACGGGAGGGGGAGGGCTCCGGCTGGGGGTGCGGGCTCCAGGCTGGGACCGAGGGGTTCGGAGGACGGGAGGGGGAGGGCTCCGGCTGGGGGTGCGGGCTCCGGGCTGGGACCGAGGGGTTCGGAGGCGGGAGGGGGCTCCAAGCTGAGGCAGGGGGGTTGGGGTGCGGGAGGAGGTACAGATTCTGGGTGCGGGTTCCAGGGTGGGGCTGGGGGGGTTGGGTGCAGGGGGAGGGGGAGGGCTCCGGCTGGGGGTGCGGGCTCCGGGCTGGGACCGAGGGGTTCGGAGGACGGGAGGGGGAGGGCTCCGGCTGGGGGTGCGGGCTCCGGGCTGGGACCGAGGGGTTCGGAGGACGGGAGGAGGATCAGGGCTGGGGTGGAGGGGCTTACCTCAAGCAGCTCTCGGAAGCAGCGGCAGGTCCCCGCTCCGGCTCCTAGGCACAGGGCAGGCCAGGCAGCTCTGCCGCACACTGCCCCTTCCGCAAGCGCCGCCCCCGCAGCTCCCATTGGTCACGGTTCTGGCCAAAGGGAGCTGCGGGAGCAGCACTCGGGGCCGGGGCAGCCTGCAGAGCCCCCTGGCTGCCCCTACGCGTAGGAGCTGGAGGGGGGGCCTGCCGCTGCTTCCGGGGGCCACGTGGAGACAGAACAGGTAGGGACTAGTCTGTCTTAGTCTGCCTGCTGGGCAGAGCTGCCAGGGTCCCTTTTCGACCGGGCGTTACCGTCAGAAACCGGACACCTGACAAACCTACAGCCCCCCGACCCAGCCCCAGCCCCCTGCCCCCATCTGGCACTTGCCCCCAGCCCCAGCCCTGACCTAGCCCCCTGCGTCCCCGAACTAGCCCTCTGCCTGGCACTTGCCCCCCGCAGGTCACCCAACCCAGTCCCAGCTCCCACCCAGTGCCAGTCCCGGCATGCCCCGACCCAGTCCCAGCCCCCCTCACCGCTACGTCCCCAACCCAGCTATCTGCCCCTCCCTGGTACCGACACACCAGGGCCAGCCCCGCCAAACACATGAGGGGAGCAGAGGTCTGGATTGAGTGTATCAATGCCCCCGCATTGCAAACCCACCCCCCCGCATTCACAGCCCCCCTCCCCCCTTACCCGAGAGCAGCGGCTGTACAATAGCCGGCCCGCTGGGCCCGATGGCCGTGAAGCCCAGGGCCATGGGGGCCGGCCCCACAGGGGCCTGCACGTAGGTGGCAGCGGGGGCGGCGCCAGGCTGCGAGGGGGAGGCCGAGGTGCCCAGGGTCAGCTGGTGCCCGCCTGTGGACTGCACATAGGTGATCCTGGGCAGAGAGGGGGGAGTGTTACAGGCAGGCGGGGGGGACACAGAGCCCTGCCCCTCCACGACCCTGGTCCCTACCTAGTGGAGGAGGAGGGCAGCAGCACCTTCTGGGCCTGACCGGAGGGTCCCACGAGGGCCGTGGCTGGGCTCAGGGGGGGCGCCAGGGCGCCACTGTTCAGAGCAGGGGTCAACGAGGTCACCTGGATGACCTGGGGGGTAGAGCAGCGTGGTTAGAGGGATCCCCAAGCCGTCCCGTCCCCCCCCCGGCACAGACATGCACTCACCTTGCTGGCAGGCTGGGCTCCGTTCTGCAGGGGCACCGGGAAGGGTGGCGCCACCTGGGCCATGGGGCCGGCCCCACCCCCGGGCCGCACCGTCACCTGGGGCGTGGCCACGGGTACCAGCACCTTGCCCTGCACCAGGTGGGCAGAGCCTCCGGGGCCTGGGGCCTGCACTGGAGACGCTGACTGGGCTGGGGGGGGAGACAGGGGCCGCATCAGGATGGGGTGGGGGAGAGGGAGCCAGCCCCCCGCCCCATCCCCCGCCCCGTGCCAGCCAGCCCCCCCGCCCCATCCCCCGCCCCGAGCCAGCCAGCCCCCCCGCCCTGGGGCCAGCGCCCCCTCACCTTTGGGGGTGGTGGAGACGACGGTGCTGGCGTTGCCAGGCCCGGGCTGGAGGACGGGCAGGCCGTGGGGCGTGGTGGCGAGCACCTTGCTGCCGGTGGGGGGCAGGGTGAAGTGGATGCTGGCGGCTCCAGCCCCTACCCCCTTGCCCCCAGCCACCTGCAGCTGCTGGGGTAGGGTGGGCAGGATGTACTGCACCTGGGTGATGCTCCCTGCCTTGCCTGGGGCCCCCGGCAGGAGGCCCTGGGGCTGCAGGATGCCCAGGGGCACCGGCCCATTGGGCCCGGACCCCGAGGGGTTCTGGGTGATGAACTGCACCGAGGGCTGCGGTGGCAGCACGGTCACTGGGGCCGGCCCGGCCCCCGCCCCCCCCGCCTGCCCCACCAGCAGGTTGGTCACCACGTTGCCCGGGGCCACCGGGGCCTTGGGCACCGGCCCGAGCAGGGGCCCGGCCACCAGGTGGGGGGAGGGGGCCTGGCTGGCAGGGGGCGGGGGCTTCTTGTCAGCGTAGAGGAGGCCGATGCGCCCCACAGGCACGGCCTCGGGCTTGGCGCCCCCCAGCACGGCCAGGGCTGGCGGGGCCGGCTCCAGGGCTGGGGGGCTGAGCAGGGGCCCGCCCTCTCCCACCCCCCGGGGGAAGGGCTTGCTGGCGATGGGCACCGGGGTGCTGCTCACCGGCTTGACCACGTTGGTGACCACGGTGGAGGCCGTGCGGGCCGGCGCCCCCCCGTAGCCGCTGAGCGAGGGCGCCGTCACCAGCACCGTGCCCGCGGACAGGCGCCCCGGCTCGGGCAGCACCAGCGCCTGCAGCGCCCCCCCGGGGGGGGGGATGACCGAGGGCCCGGCGGCGCCTGTCTCCGCCCCCCCGGCGCTGTCAGCCCGCTTCCGGCGGTAGGGGGGAGCCGGCTCAGGGCGCTTGGCTGGCGCGGGGGCGGGGGGCTGGGCCCCCCGCGAGTCCTGGGCCTTGAACGGGCTGGGCGCCAGCGGGAAGGGGCTGTAGGGCTTGGCCAGGGGTGGCTGGTCGGGGCCATGGGGCAGGTCCAGCTCAGGGGGGGCTGGCGGGCGGCAGGGGGCAAAGGCGCCCGAGGAGGGGGGCAGCGGCGGGGAGCGGATCACTGGGGAGAAGAGCTTCCGCCCAAAGCCCTGGGGGCAGAGAGAGACACGGGGGGAGGTTAGGTGCTGACCCCCATAGCTCCCCCTGCCCCTCATAACTCTCCCACCTCTCCCTGCCCCCCCATCAACTCCCACACAGCCCCGTCTCTTCCTGCCCCCCATAGCCCTTCCCTGCCCCCATCACCCCCTGCATAGCTCCCCCACCTCTCCCTGCCCCCATCAGCCCCCCATCAACCCCCAGACAACCCCTCTGCCTCTCCCTGCCCCCATCAACTCCCAAACAGGCCCCCTGCCTTTCTCTGCCCTCATAGCTCCCCCTGCCCCATATCAGCCCCCCTACCTCCATCAATCCCTTATAGCTCCTCCTGCCCTCTAAATAGCCCCCCTGCCCCTTCCCCAGCCCCCACCTTGCCGTCGGGCTCCTCGTCTGAAGAGGTGTCGCTCTCACTGTCCGTCACCCTCTCCTTGCACTTCAGGTCAATGTCGGGCGGGTTGAACCCATCGTCCGCTGGGGGGGCAGGAGGGGGCAGAGTCAGTGATGCCCCCGAGGCCCCACCCTCATTGCCCAGAGATCCAACCCCCTCCCTGCAGAGCTGTGCCAGGGGGGGAAGACACGTCTGTAGGGTGTGCGGCCGTACAGCGGGGCCATGGGGGGGGTGGCTAAGGGATTTCTGGGGGGCAGTGTGGAGTCCGGAGGCTCTAGGCGAGCTCCGAAGGAGCCGGGAGCTCTGAGGGGTTCGGGGGGGGAGGGGCCTCACCAATTACATCATCGTCCCCCTCCTCCTCGCAGATGACCATGCGCTCCTCATCGCTCGTCATGTCCTCGCTGGCCACACGCTGGGAGCGGGCGGCACGGGGGGCTGGCGGCAGTAGGGGGGGCCGGGGCCCCTCACCTGGAGCTGCGAATGGGGTCCCAGAGGGGCCCGGCCCCCCATACTGCCCCTTCCCGCCGGGGTAGGGTGACGGGCTGGAGCACATCTGCAACAAAGCAGGGAGCAATTGGGGGCTGCGACCCCTGCACCTCCCACCAGCAGGCCCCTTCAACCCAAACCTGAGATCCTCCCCCCAATCAGGGATCCTATTCCCCCCCGATCCCCAAGCAGGGCCCCCCAACCCAGACCCGAGACCCTCCCTCCCATCAGGGATCCCATTCCCCTCCCAGTAGGGCCCTCCAACCCAGACACAGACTCCCCACAGGGGACCCAATACATCCCCTCACCACCCCTCCAGAACCCAATCCACCATGAGCTCCAAGGCCCCCCAGTACCTGTGTGAGCTCCTGCAGCGCCTGGCTGTCCCGCTCCCCGGTGTTCAGCCCGTGCACCCCGCTGTGAGAGAAGGCCCGGGGCCGCTGCGCCCCAGACCCCACCACGTGGATCAGCCGCTCCCCGGGCACGTGCCCCGTGCCCCCTGCCTTGCCCTCTGGCCCTGCCAGCACCGGGATCTCCGAGGAGGCTATGGGGGAAGAAAAGAGGGGCTGAGCAGGCTGTGGGGGGAGCCCCATGAGGGGGAGAGGGGAGGGGGCGGGTCTCACCTCCCGGCACGGCAGCCGTGCCCGTCTCCGACATGCTGCGCTCCCGCGCCTCCTTGGGGCCCCCCCCAGGCCCCGGTGCCGAGGGCTTGGCGTCCGAGCTCGACTTCTTCCGGTCCTTGTTACACCACTTCCAGTCGGGGTGTGCCTTGAAGTGCGCCTCCTTCACCTGCGCACGGACCACGTTAGGGGGCACCCCGCTGGCCCCCCAGACCTCCCGCTCACCGGATCCCCAAGTCCCTTGCTCCCCCGGCCTGACTCACTGGCCCCCCCGAGTCCTCCCGCCCGACTCGCTGGCCCCCAAGCCCCCCACTGACCACCTGCAGCGCAGCACCCCCTGCTGACCCCAAAGCTGAGCTCCCCAACCCCCTCGTTGACGCCCCCTGCTGTCCAACTCCCTGCAGTACAGCCCCCCCCGCAGCCCAGGCCCCGCCCCGGTGCCCGCACCTGGAAGGCCAGGTCATGGTACTTCTGCTTCTCCTTGGGCCCCAGGGCGTACCACCACTCGCCCAGGATCTTGCTGACCGTGCGGTTGTCCTGGTTCGGATGCCGCTGGTGCACCAGGGCCCGGTGCCGCTTGCTGAAGATCATGAAGGCGTTCATGGGCCGCCGGATATGGTCCTTCTCCCGCTGCAGGGAAGGGAGGGGTCAGTATGCAAACGACCTATGCACCCACGGCCAATCATATCCCTCCAACAGGAAGGGGGTCTAGGGGAGGGATCAGCATCCAAATGAGCAACACACCCACGGCCAATCACATCCCTCCAACAGGGAGACACGGGGGGGGGGGGGGGGGGGGGGGGTGCATCTAGGGGAGGGGTCAGTATGCAAACAAGCAATGCACTCTCAGCCAATCATACCCCTCCCCAAAGGAGGGGGGCCTATGGGGGGTCCTCATGGAGCATTCCATGTATAAATACAGGGGGGGATGAGTTCTCATGGCACATTCCACGTGGGGGATTAAGGGGGCTGGTTCTTATGGAGCATTCCATGTGGGGGATGGAGGGGAAGGGGGAGTTACCATGGAGCGTTCCAGATGGGGGATAAAGGGGGGCATGAGGTGTCATGGTGCGTTCCATGTGCAAATTAAAGGGGGGGGTGTGAATTCTCGTGCCACATGCCATGTAGGGAATAATCCACTTGGCCTTGGGGAAGTGCAAGTCTCTCTGGACTGTTCCATGCACACAGCATTGCGGGGGGGGGCACTCTTGTCTCTGTACCATTCCATACACAGGGATGGGGGGAGCTGGTCTCTCTGGACTGTTCCATGCACACTGTGGGATGCCCTCTCTGGATCATTCCATGTACAGGGGGTGGAGCGGATTTCACTGGACTATCCCATCCACATGGCAGCATGGGGGAGGGTGTCTCTCTGGCCTGTTCTATGCACATGGCGGGTGGGGAGATGGTCTCTGTGTGGGGACTGACCGTTCCACGGACACAGGGGTGGGGAGATGGAGTCTCATGGACTGTTCCATGCACACGGCAGGGGGGGCAGTCTCTCTCACCTTGTTGGGGCTGCGCCCATCCTTCTCGGAGGAGGAGTCTCGCTCCTTGGGCAGGGCGCTCAGCGACTGCGTCCGGCGCTTCCCGGGCTGCAGAGGGAGCTGGATCTCGGGGGACACAATCGACAGGAACCTGTGCAGGGCGGGCGTCACTCTTGTAACCCTGCTGCCCCTCGATCCTCCCCCCAGCCTGGTCCCTGCCCCAGATCCCCCCACACCCTGCCCCCAACCCTTCCAACACCCACTGTACTGCCCCTGCCTCCACCCCACAAGGCCCCAACCCACGTCCCCCTGCCGGCCCTGACTACGTGCCCACAAACAACCCTCCTTACTCCCCTGCCAGCCCCATGTTCCCCCTTCCTCCTCAAAACCCTGCACCAGCCCCGTGTCCCCTCATCCCCCTCGTAGCCCCCCCGCCAGCCCCCTGTCCCCCAACCCTCCCCACTCACGCGTCATCGTGGTCACTCTCTGTCTCGCTGTCCAGTCTTGGGGGCCCTGGGGCCTCGTCCACGAGCTGGGAAGGGCCCTCTGCCCCTCCAGCCGCTGCCGTGGCCTGGGGGGCTGAGGCTGGGCTGTCGGGGCGGGAAGCCTCCCGTTTTCCCAGCTCAGCCCCTGACACCACACCCGTGACGTCATGGGCAACAGCCGCTGATTCTGGAGGCTCTGGTGGGGGCAAAGGTCAAGGGCAACAGCCCATGAGAACACACCAGGCAGAGAGGGGCCATTTTTGTGGGTCACACTGAAATGCAAAGGATGCCCATCCCCTACCACCATCAGCAAAGAAGAGGCCATTTTTGTGGGTCACACCAAAATGCAACAGCACGAGCTCCCCCTGCTAGCTGCACTCCTTGCTTGCTGCGCGGGCATCATTTTGGTGGGTCACACACAAAAGCCAGCAGTTCCCCTGTGCTGGCAAGGAACTGGCTGGGCTCACGGCCCCCCTGGCTCTCCCCAACTGGCCCACATGAGGCTATCCCACCCTCACCTTTGTTCTGATTGGACACTGCGGGGTGATTGACAGGTTGCTGGCCCTCGCTGGGCTGGACGGAAGAGTCCGGCTGGCTGGGGGCCAGGAAGGGCACAAGGGAGTGCCACGGGAACACGGCCACAGAGCGCGGCTCCACGTTGGTCCAGACTGGAAGGGAGAGAGCAGACAAAGGGTTAAACACACAGCCAGGATGCCTGGGTTCTCTCCTGGCTGGGGGGAGTCTGGGAGCCAGGACTCCTGGGTTCTCTCCCCAGTTCTGGAAGGGGAGTGGGGTCTGGTGGGTTAGAGCAGGAGGGGCTGGGAGCCAGGACGCCTGGGTTCTCTCCCCCAGGGTCAGTCTGCCCTCTACCATACCCCCAGTATTGGGGCTCCCTGGCCTTACCCCATGCTCAGATAGCCCCCCATACCCCCCAGCAATGGGGAAGGACTCTGGAGTTTTCCTTTGCACCAGGTTCCCTCCCCACAACCTGGGGGTGAATGCTGGGAGGAGCCCCAGAGGTGCTGGCTGTAGGAGGGGAGAACAGGCGTGGTGACTCTGCTTTGACCCACAGCGGCTGCCAAACCCAGGGATGTACAAGGGGAGGGGAGCCCCCCCAGCACTGATCTGGGGGCAAGGGGAACCAGCAGTCCCCCAATGCACCCCAGAGTAGGGCATCACCCCATGCCACTCCCTAGAGGGGTAGCTCAGGGCGCAGGACAGGGAAAGCATGCAGCACTGAGTCACCCCCAGGTCCATCCCACCCCCACATCTCCCAGCCCCAGATGATCCCCTCGCCCCTTCCTGTGGGGCCTCTCAGGCTGAGCAGCACTTCCTCCTGGGGGGTGGAGGCCAGGGACACAACCACACACCCACAACACCTGCGGCCCTGCCACACCCCAGCTACACAACAAGGCCCTGCCACATACCCCAGCACAATGCAACACACACAACGTCCCACAACATATCACAGCCCTGACACACACAGATGTCCCAACACAATGCAGCTGGGGCATCCAACACGCACAGAGCTGTACCACATCCTGCAACACACACACACACACTGCAACACTACACAGCAATGCAACATAACACAACACAACACACACACACACCAACCTGCAGTGCAACACAGCTTGGCAAACACAAATACACCGGGACATCCTGTAACACACCACGGCAACCCAAGTCCTGCCCAGCCTGCATCGCACAAAGCGCCACCAGACACCCGAACGCAACAACCTCCGCGCCCCACCAGCGAGAGCCCAGGTTGCTCCCCACCCCTGCCTGTTCGGGCCCCGGCCTGACCCCTGCATGGGCACAGCCCCCTCAGCCCCCAGCCGGGCAACTACCACAGGGCAGCACCCACATGGCCAGCCTAGATGGGGCAGGTGCCCCATGCGCGACAGCAGCAAGCCAGCCCACCCCGCAGCTGCCCGTGCCACGGCGGGGAGCTGCCCGTGCCACGGCGGGGAGCTGCCCACAGGCAACGGGGCAGCATGCCACAGCCACCCCCCCACGATGCAGCATCCTCGCCCCAGCCACCTGCCAGGGCACCAACCCAGCCGCCCACTGCCAGCCCTTGGTGGCGTCGGGGGTCCCCCAACCCCCTCAGCGCCCCCGCTGTCCGTCCCGGGAGCACGGCGCGGGCGCGGCTAACTCAATTATTAAAGCCCTTAAGTGGCTGGCGGTGGGGCGCTGCCGGGAAGCCGGTTCTGCCTTCCTGTTCTCCGGCCGGTGACCACATCCCCCGCGCGAGGGGGGGAGACAGGATGGAAGAGGATTTCAGCAGGGAGGGGGTGTCGCTGCAGCCCCCCGTCACTCCTCCCTGTCCCCCATGATGGTGCCGAACTCCAAGCATGGATGGGTCTGCAGGGCTGACGGGGGCACAGACACACCCCCCCCAAAACGCGTCACGGCCCCGAGAGCACGCAGCAGGGTCAGGCAGGAAACCTGAGGCACAGAGATGGGAAGGGACTGACCAAGGTCACGGTGAGCCAGGAAGAGAACCCAGGAGTCCTGGCTTCCAGCCCCCCTCCCCCCTCCCACTACACCCACTCCCCTCCCAGAGCCAGGATAGAACCCAGGAGTCCTGCGCGCTGCACCTGGCGGGCGAGGGGCAGGTCTGCGCTGGGAAGTTAATTCAGGCTCTGGGGACCGAACCAGCTCAGTTGCCCCCAGAGCCCGACTGCCTCGGGGAGCTCAGGGAGGGGGCAAGGAGAGCCCCAGCATCGATGGACCCTCTGCGCTGGGGGCTGGGGAGCAAGGGGCCCCAGTGGCCCGTCCAGTCCTCAGCCATTGTGCTGGGGCTGTGACCCAAACATCCACAGAATACCAGGGCTGGAAAGGACCTCAGGAGGCATCGAGTCCAAGCCCCAGCATGAAGCCGGACCAATCCCCAACTCCCTAAACGGCCCCCTGAAGGATTGAACTCACAACCCTGGGTTTGGCAGGCCCATGCTCAAACCACTGAGCTACCCCGAACCCCCAGACCAGGGCTGGACCAGGGCCAGTGCCCCAGAGGGGAGGGGCCCCGCGCCCCACTCCTGTCCTGGCCCAGCAAGACCCCCCAGGCACCCGGATGGGAGCTGGCAACTCCTAGAGGGCAGGGGAGGGGCCCCGCGCCCCATTCCTGCCCCCCCACCACTCCCCCCCATGCGTCCAGACAGGACCTGGCGCCCCCCAGAGGGGAGGGGCCCCGCGCCCCATTCCTGCCCCCCAGGCAGTCCCCGCCTTGCGCCCAGACAGGACCTGGCGCCCCCCAGAGAGGAGGGGCCCCGCGCCCCATTCCTGCCCCCCAGGCAGTCCCCGCCTTGCACCCAGACAGGACCTGGCGCCCCCCAGAGGGGAGGGGCCCCGCGCCCCATTCCTGCCCCCCAGGCAGTCCCCGCCTTGCACCCAGACAGGACCTGGCGCCCCCCAGAGGGGAGGGGCCCCGTGCCCCATTCCTGCCCCCCAGGCAGTCCCCGCCTTGCACCCAGACAGGACCTGGCGCCCCCCAGAGAGGAGGGGCCCCGCGCCCCATTCCTGCCCCCCAGGCAGTCCCCGCCTTGCACCCAGACAGGACCTGGCGCCCCCAGAGGGGGAGGGGCCCCGTGCCCCATTCCTGCCCCCCAGGCAGTCCCCCGCCTTGCACCCAGACAGGACCTGGCGCCCCCCAGAGGGGAGGGGCCCCGTGCCCCATTCCTGCCCCCCAGGCAGTCCCCGCCTTGCACCCAGACAGGACCTGGCGCCCCCCAGAGGGGAGGGGCCCCGCGCCCCATTCCTGCCCCCCCGCCACTCCCCCCATGTGCCCAGACAGGACCTGGCGCCCCCCAGAGGGGAGGGGCCCCGCGCCCCCATTCCTGCCCCCCCGCCACTCCCCCCATGTGCCCAGACAGCACCTGGCGCCCCCCAGAGGGGAGGGGCCCCGCGCCCCATTCCTGCCCCCCAGGCAGTCCCCGCCTTGCACCCAGACAGGACCTGGCGCCCCCCAGAGGGGAGGGGCCCCGCGCCCCATTCCTGCCCCCCAGGCAGTCCCCGCCTTGCGCCCAGACAGGACCTGGCGCCCCCCAGAGGGGAGGGGCCCCGCGCCCCATTCCTGCCCCCCCGCCACTCCCCCCATGTGCCCAGACAGCACCTGGCGCCCCCCAGAGGGGAGGGGCCCCGCGCCCCATTCCTGCCCCCCAGGCAGTCCCCGCCTGCCCCAGACAGACCGGGCCCCCAGAGGGGAGGGGCCCCGCGCCCATCCGCCCCCAGCAGTCCCGCCTTCACCCAGACAGACCGGGCCCCAGAGGAGGGGCCCCGGCCCCATCCGCCCCCGCCACCCCCCATGTGCCCAGACAGCACGGGCCCCCAGAGGGGAGGGGCCCCGCCCCATTCCCCCCCACACCCCCCTTGCCCAGACAGCACCGGCCCCCCCAGGGGAGGGGCCCCGCGCCCCATTCCTGCCCCCCAGGCAGTCCCCGCCTTGCACCCAGACAGGACCTGGCGCCCCCCAGAGGGGAGGGGCCCCGCGCCCCACTCCTGCGCCCCCGCCCCCGACTCTCCCCCCGGGGCTGCCGGGGGGCTCGGTGGCGGGCAGCTCTCGGGGTCCCACCGCGCCGGGGTTCAAGGGTCACCGGCTGCCCCCCCCCGCGCCCCCCCCGCGCCACTGACCGAACATGCCGAGCCCCCGCCGCGGCGCGGGGGGGGGCAGCGCTGCCGGGGGTCGCTCCGCGGAGAACATCGCGGGGGGGTCATGCCCCCCCCGCCCCCTCTGCCGGCCGGGGGCGCCTCAGCCCTGCGCGCGCGCGCCCGGGGCCGCCCCCAGGCTGGGGGGGGGCGCGCGCGCCGGGCGGGGGGCGAGCGGGCGCGGGCGCGCGCGCAGGGGGCGCGGGGCGGGCGGGGGCGCGCGCGGGGGGGGGGGTCTCCGCCTGTCGCCGTTGCCCGGCGCCCGCCGCCGCCTGTCGCCGCCTGTCCCGGCCCGGCCCCGCCTGGGAACGAGGGCGGCCCCCCCCGCGCGCGCCCCGCGTCACGCAGGCCCCAGCGCCCCCCCCATTGGCCGCCGCCGCCCCGGGTCATTCACATGCAAATGAGCGGCGCTCACACACGCCGCCCGCCCATTGGCCGCCGCCGCGACGTCACCGCGGGGCGAATCAACGGCTCGGCTCCCGATTGGCCGGGAGCGGCGGCGCCAGCTATTGGCTGCTCCCCCGCCCCCCCCCCCCCCGCCGGCGCTGGGAGCGGGGGGGCCGCGGCTCCGCCTGGGTCCTCCGGCGCCGCGCCCCTCACCCTGGCCTCAGGGCACGGCAGGACACGGGGTCACGTGGGCCGGCCGGCCGGGCACGCTCACTCCCGCACCCGCCTGCACACTCACGTGCCCTTCTTAACCCGCCCGCACACACGCTCCTGTGCACCTCTGACACGCTCACTCCCACACCCGCCTGCACACTCACGTGCCCTTCTTAACCCGCCCGCACACACGCTCCTGTGCACCTCTGACACGCTCACTCCCGCACCCGCCTGCACCCTCACGTGCCCTTCTTAACCCGCCCGCACACACGCTCCTGTGCACCTCTGACACGCTCACTCCCGCACCCTCACGTGCCCTTAACACGCCCGCACACACGCTCCTGTGCACCTCTGACACGCTCACTCCCGCACACTCACGTGCCCTTCTTAGCACGCCCGCACACACGCTCCTGTGCAC